TAAAACTTTTACATAAAATTATTTCCAAAAAGGCTGATTCACTGTTCTCCTTGTTTACTTCTGCGTTCTGACTATCGTACTTCTGACGGACATAAAATTTGGAAAAAAGAAAAGTTTAAAGAACGTCGTTGTCGAGTCGGAAAAAAAAACATTGCGGCCCTTATTATAGGTGACTTTGCATTTTTAGGAATATTCAATGCTTTTTTTCCCTCTGAAAATGCCCTCATTTCATTTTCTAATACGTAGTAAAATGGAGAATGTCACATATACCTATCATCTTTTTAAAAATATTTTTATTAATTGTACATATTAAAAAATAGTTTCAATACAAACAATTTAAGTAGATATTTTAGATAGCTCACTTGAATAGTTTTTTAAATCCATTTAAATCGTTTAAGTAGATCTTATATTAATAATAAAATAAAATAATTAGTTTTAAAATTATGATAAAATAATTAAAAGGGATAATATTTAATTAGAGTAAGAGCTAGTATTTTCACTTTAAGAACTAATTTTTTTGTTAATTACATATATCGTTTGATTAAATGTCTGTTTCAAATATTATCAGTACTAAATATAAATATCTCCCTCGATAAAAATTCAAACATTAACTCTTCATGTTGCAGTGACACAGTTTTTTGGAGTTACGATTGAAATCTTTAAAAGTATTTATTCACACAATTCACTCAGTTCTTTATAGAAGTTTGAAAAACTGCTTTTGAATAATTCTAAGAAAAATTGGTAAAAAAAAATTTCTGGTTAAAAATTTAATTAACTAAAAAAACCTGAATTTGAGCAAGTACAACTATGATCCATGAGTACAACACATCTTCTGTTGTGTGCAACATGTCATTAATGATGTGCAACAATCGTTAATATGAAAGTCATTTGCATACAACGGAAGATATATTGCACTCACGGAATATATTTGCACGTATTCAAATTTAAATCTTTTTAGCCAATTAAATTTTTAAACAGGGATTTTTTTACCAATTTTCTTATGATCCTATCACTCTAAACAAGCTCGTATAATGACAATATGATACATTAGTTCATAAAAAAAATGAAAATAAGAATAATAATGACGTTATGGACTTGGTCTTCACTTGGGTCATATCTTGTGTCACCCAGTCGAGGTGTTCCATTTGATGTTTTCAGTTTTAAGTTTAATTTTGACAAATTGACAGGTGATATATCTTGACCTCCTTCCTAGTAATGAAATTGATCTTTGTGAGAATCCACCTTATTCATATAGTTGACCATTATATACAATATTTTTCTTGCATGCCTGCACTCAAATTCCAATAAGCAAATCAATCTTAAATTTGGTTTTTGAAATAGCGTTCGTGTTCAAATATATATTGGATTCATGCCACACATAATCTCAATACCCCGTAACGTAATTAACCTTACCTGTTTTGTTTCCTTCGTTAATGTGCATTCACTATTATTTTTAGGAATTTGACAGGAGGAATAAAATTTTCGATGAATAATAATATTGATGTCGAATGTTTTAATAATCATATAATAATAAAAGAGTTCAAAATTAAACAATAAACTACTGGTTGAACTACTGGTTGAGATGGTAAGCGGTTTCATCATCATAAGGGGGAAAACACAAATTCAAATCTTAATAGACGTATTTGTTAAAAGCACTCTAGCTTTAATGCTCTACGGCTGATAGAAATTAATCCGAAGTTTAAAATAATTTGAGGATACTCTGACTTATTCAAAAAAGGAAGGAAGGAAGGAAGGAAGAGTTCAGAATTATATTTTCATTCATAGAGCTCATCACATGATTATATTTCGGACACCAAGTTGATCGACATTAGTAACACCTATTTGCATTTTAAAAATCGATAATTATTCTATTATCAATTATGCATTTTTTAAAAAAAGGAGCAAAGCAATTCTATTAATTAGTTCAATTGATAAGAACATGGCACGCGAGAAAAGAAATGCAGACACTTTCTTTTATTAAGTGCAAAATCATTATAATTATTATCATAACCACAAAAAAAAAAACTTTCAACGTTGGTTATGGAAGACTTTTAACAAAGGTTTTAAAAAGGGACATATAAAATCAAGTGATCATATTTAAATACACATGGGTTTGTATCATTAAAATTTAAACCAAATAATTTAGAGCTGAGGAAAACACAATCGAGAAAAGGCCAATCAAGGGAAATGAAATCGGGAGCTGTGTTGTTTCGGTAGTGTTTGGAACATTATCGAGGTTTTGAACTGTTTGAAAAGGAGTTCTGATAAGAATGGAATCTGCAGTTATTAACAAAATTAAGCAATAATTTTTCCCTCCTGTGTGCTCTTCAGCAATTCCATTTACGAAAGGTTGATATCTGCGTAGTAATAAAATAATAATAATTGCTGGTAAAAAAAAAATTCTCCTCCTTTAAATTTCTGTGGATGAAATGCTTTTTTTGTACGGACCTTTACCTACATGGTTATGTGATTAGACGGGGCAAAAGTTCATTGTCAGGTGTAGGCTCAAGTTGGAGCCAACTCAGTTTTTCCCCAAGTATATACTCCTCCGTACGCATTTTCACTTTTTAAACGTATTTAAAAAACTCTTGAACAGTATTAATTTTTTAAAAAAATATAACAACTTTTCATTTTTATTTAATAGCATAAGAGTTTCTAATTTTCCATATAAATAAGAGATGGCTGATTCAATCTCGCTAATAATTTTAAATTGGGAGTGTTCGTCTTTTTAACTTAAAAACATAATTATTCAGTTTACTTAATTTAATATTTTTTTAAAAAATAATAAAAAAAGACTGCCGAAACAGAAAAATTACAAATAAAAACATTTGACAACATTAGTATAAGTTTTAAAAATAATAGTATAAGTTTTAATAACAATTTTTATAATATGGTCTCTATGTGTAATTTTTCTATTTTGATGGTTTTTTTTTGTTGCTATTTTCCCCTCTTTTAAATGCTCACACCAAGAAGATGAATTTGCTGTCTGTATGAATATAAAAGGCGTTATGGGCCAAGGACCCCACCCTTTCCGCTTGCACATGACCAATCGTACCTCAATTGTTTTCTCACAATCATTCCGGTGAAAGATGGGAATCAAATATAAAATATTTTCAAATTTAATTATAAGTTACTTTTTTTTTCCGAAAAAAATTGTTTTTCACGCTCGCACAAATTTAAACTTCATGCGTTATCATTTTAGGAAGGATTCCATTTCAAAATTGGTAACTTCATGATAACGGCCTTATGTCCTGGAAGTCTTTTATTAATGTGAAATATACTATCGCATATTCTTTTGACTTGGGCTCTGAAAAGCACGTGTTTGAATAATTAAGAAAATAAAAGCAAGTGTGTTGGGAGTTTCCTCTCGTTAAATTTTATGTGGCAGAGTATCTTCTAAAATTTTATATTATTTTTGTAAATTTGAATTTATTAATCATCTTTGTCGGTAAGTTGCTTCCCCAGTTGCCAACCTCGTGCTAAGATTAATGAGGTCACGGAATGAAATCAGCCTAGTGACGTCACCAACTCAGCCTTCATTTGGATTGTCCATTACGTCGCCCAGTATAAGTGTTCCATTTTGTGTTTTCAATTTTAGTTTGGACAAATTGATAGGGCATGGGTGATCTTACCCTTCTTACGCAATGAAATTGAACTCTTTTGGATCTCCAATTATACAGTTTTCAAAATAAGAACGAAACCAACATGTTTCCAAATTCCTACCCTCTACCTCAGTAATGCCCTTAATATCACATGTTTTTTCATAAAATACTCTGATCATGTTTTTTAATATCCTTTATTTCTTTCCCCCTTGTTTATTGTTAGAAGAGTATCATTAAGAATAATTTAAAAAAATTAATAAAAATAAAACATAAGTTTTATACGTAGGATCAATATTTACATTTATATTTAAATTATTGGATATTTTAACAGGTAACATTGCTTTTTGAACTTCCGGGAAAAAGGGAAAAAACTTGTACTCAATTTATATGCAATAATCATTATTACATCTTAGGAACGTTCCGTTGTTATTCCCCAAAAAAACTGAGAAAACTCTACAGATTTCTTCCATGAAAGATACTTTTCCTTGTGCCGAAAACATAACAATTCTTTTTAGGGGGTGTTTGGATTTGTTTAAAAATATTTTCTAAAGGCATTTTTCTGCAAATCAAAATAAACTTTTCTACATATTTACTTTGTATATAATAAAATTATTTTTAAAATTATAATTTGATTTTAATCCAAATATTCTTTAATTTACGTGGTATATTCATCCGCTCAAAAGTCAAAACTTGACACAATTTATTGCTGCTGGCGGATGCTCGGAGATTGGACGTTTAAATCAAGTTTTCTTGCCTTGTTTAAAGAAAAAAGAAAAAAAGAAAAGAAGCATCAATGGCTTCGTAGACTAACAATCAAAGACTAGTCAATCACTCACACTACTTATGTCAAGTAGTCTCCTTTAAACTCATTATTAAGTTGAGAAATGATTTGACAGGAAATAGGCATGGGTTACACAAGTTAGAATTTGATTGTAACAGCCATTGGAACTTTCAACGGCAACATTTTAATAATAATTTACAAATTATAAGATAAATATATGAGAAAAATCTTATTTCAGTTTACATAAAAAAATTTACAAAAAAAAATTTAAAATTACCACACGTCAAATAAAAAATATTAACAAAAATTTGTTGTCATTTACAAATTTAATATAATCAACACCAAATACAATTATTACCACCAACCTAATTTGAGATTTAGTAAATTTTTATATTTTTTTTTATCATTTTCTCTTGCATAAAAGTATTTATAAATGTGTATATCAATGGTTTGAGCAATAGCTCCGACCGCTCATACGCACCAACCTTGTCCTCTAATCCTACTCAAAGGTGGGAACAAAGAATGCGTACGCAAACTCTTATTGATTCATGGGTATTTACAATTTTACATACAAATCGCAACTACTAATTTGACAGGTCGTCCTGCTCCTGCTTTGTAGCGTAAATCTCATTTAGAATAATGAAAGGAAAAAAAATTCGGTTAGCAAATTACTGAACCTGAGAGAAAGGGACCTGGCTTGCCAGAATTTGCACCAGCGATGATAAGTTTCTCATGGGGTGGATTCAGGATCTTGGGCAATTCACAACAAATCGTAGGATCGAATAGCAGACGCCAGAGCGGTTCACTTGGAGTCATGTAAGCGTGAGCTATATGCTTCCAACTGGCACCAACGTTGTTTTAGAATGAGAGCTACGTAACCTTGTATTCTCAAGCCATTGCACTCTCTTTAATAATGGCTGAATCTCTGACTAGGTTTGCCGCTGTTACCATTAACAAATGGAATCATTAGTTTTCATGTCGTTGATGAAAATGCTTATCCAAGACTCATTCAAGTTTTTTTGCAAACTTTGACATGAACAGCCGTAGCCGCCTGCCGTGTACAGTTAATGCACAATCATGATAATAAAAAATTGGGGGAACTAAATATTAAACTTTACCCCTCTTCTTGATCTTGTTACGGAAGCTTCTTTTCCTGCTAAATGCTCTCTCCTGCAGTATTAGAAATAAATGAATCAGGCTACAGATCAAGCCCTCCGTTTTATGGATTAAAAATAATGCTAGGTTGAATCACTTTGCAGATAGCTATGCATGATCGCCCTGCAGAGGATTCAATGTTACTACAAAGAAGACAGCCAAAAGAAGGTGGATGTAATTCTCTTTTTTTTTTTTTTGAGGGGGGATGGGGGAGGAGGATGTTCAAAATTTACCACAGGTCGACCGAGTTCCCCTGCTCGGCGAACCGCATCAACAAGCTCCCTATTAGATTCAGTGTACATGCTAGTAACAAGTCCAAATTGACCAGCTCGACCAGTTCTACAACCAACCCTATGCAAGAAGTCTACAGCAGAACTAGCAAAATCTGCCTGAAATTGACGCACAAGTTGAATACCTATAAGTAAAAACATACTAAACAGAAAAGATTTGAACAAAGTAGCAGCTTAGTTGACACAAATGGCAAACAAAATTGTTTGGCATGCTCATACTGAAATTTAAACTTCAAATAATGAGCTCCATTCAGAGAAAATACAAGACGTGTCATGTCTATTATAAGTAGCACTTCTGAAGCTTGTCGGATGTTGTCATCAGCATACTGTGGGAGCGTCAAAATCCAAATCATGCTTCATAAGGCCTAAGAGTAATTATTTAAAGACTTTGATCAATTTTTTTCTAAGAATCAGGCGCATC